AATTGAATAATTAAAGGTATTATTATGAGTATTTTGTATAAAATGTTTGGAGAGATTGAAATATTGTTTTTGAAGATCCATGAGTTATAAGTTTACATATAATTTAGTTTGATAATGTTAAATATGAATTAATTGGTAATAATAAATGTTTGATTAAATTCTATTTTAAGAGACAGGAGCTCCTGTTTATCAATATGATATTAAGAAGTAAGATAAACTTGGATAATTGTTATATCGTGAATTTAATGAAGGTTATAAATTGTATTTAGATGAGTAGTAAATAAATGATGTTATAAATACTTTTGAGGAATTTATAAAGGTGAATGTTAATAATTAAATAATGGGTGTAGGTGAGATAAAGTAAAATTTTAAAATGTTAACAATATCAAAATAGAATGGAAACAAGAAGAAATAAACAATAATTTTAAAATCTAATTATGGTTTGTAAATTGAGAGTCAGGATTAATATATAAGTGGTACTATATTTAATTTTTTGGAATGGAGTTGTATAGTGGTATTGATGATTACACCAGATATGAGTTATGAATATGTAACTCATTTTAGTAGTTAGGACAAGTAATATTATTCTTTTTAATTTGAATTGGGTTAAGCAAATAAGTATCTAATTTTAAACTTAAATAAATGTCATATATGTTTTTATAATGAGAGTATAATAAAATATGAGAAAGTGAAATGTTTATAGTATTTAGAATATATAATTTAATAATTACATTATACAAATTATTCTTCATTTCATAGAATAGAATTTTAGAATATATTAAATAAACAATAATTCATGGATTAGTTTTTATTGAAATCTGATGTAATCAAGTGGATTGCATAGGATTTTGAATATGAAGATAATTAAAATTATTAGTTATTTAAGTAAATAAGATATAATGAGGAAATCTCATATAAGGTTCCTGAGATTTTTATAGCTTTAGGATAGTTGTCAAAATTAAAGTATGTTTATATTCACAATTAATCAATTGTTGGAGAATGTTTATACGGATAGATAGAATTTGGAGAAGAGATATTATTTATTGATATATCACCAAGTTAACATTTTGTTTATTTTTATGAATGTGAATAAGAGCCAGTATTTAAATTGTAATCATCAATATGGAGATATAGGAAACCATTCATTGATTATTAGATAGAATTATTATATAAGGATAAAAAGAAACTTATAAATAAGATAAAATTGAAGGGTAAGATTGTTAAAGGAAGATATATTTATGCAAAGAAAAATTGTTTATATGTGACATTTTAAGGTGGAATGAGAATTGTTTAATGTGAGAATTTGACCATAAATAGAATGATAGGTGAATATTCTTAGAGAGAAGAAGTAGAATTTTAAAGTGAAGATGGATAATGTATTATTAATTTTATAACCATTTAATAAGATTAAGAATATAAGTATAAATTTAAATTTGTTGATTGATTTAGAATAATATTCCAAAATATTCATATATTATTCACTTTATTATAATTTTAATAATAAAATAAATACTATATGAATAATACAAATAATAGTAAGGTATTTATAATTCATTGGAAATTTTTAAACTTAAGAATTAAGGATATTTTGTTATAGAATGATATAATTTTAGATGAGGCTACCAATGAATAGTTAAGAATTCAATAAAGGTTATTAAGGGAATTCATTAAAAAATGTTTGAGTAATTGACATCAATTACAACAAGGCCATTAAAAATTGCGAAATTTTTATTTTAAAAGACAGAAATTGAATAAAATGATTAATTAAGACAGTGGAATTTTTTAAAATTAGAAATAAGGTTCTATGTTTACAAGTGAATTTTGATCTAAAAAATAATGAAGATAATATATAAAGTAAGCAAAATTTTTCACAATAAAAAGAGTTCTTAAAAGATTTGCAAATTAGGAATGGGATTAGAATTAAAATAACCTACTTATATAAATGAAAGTGGATTAGTAACTAGATTATATTGAAGGTGAAAAGAGATTAAGATAAAAAATCATTATAGATTGGAGAATATAAAAAAACTATGATATTTAAAGGGAATTAGAAAAATATAAAGATTTAGAAATATTATAAATATATCATAAATAGAATTAATCATTTGGATAATTGTCTTTAAGACATTAAGTAAAGAATCATTAAGTAAAGAATCATTAAGTAAAGAATCATTAATTAAATCATATTACAGAATTATCAAAATTACAAAAGGATAAAAAAAATTTGAATAAGTCCTCTCTAAAAAATGAAATGTTAATCATTTATAGAAGATAAATTTTGAATAATTTTTTGCATCTAGTATTCCATATATTTAAGGTTTAAAAACTGCTTTTCTCTCTATGAAAGAAGGAGATATTGCTTGGTTCAAAATATCTAATGAATAAATGTACACCGTTTAAGAAATTGCTAATGGTATCACAGTTTAAAATTTAGAAAAATACTTTAAAATTGATATTTTAGAAGTTACTCAACCAGAAGCACCTCTAGATTTAAAAAATTTAGATAAGTAATTAATTAAATATTATTTTAATTGTCTAAAGTAATTGGAACTATTTAAAATTGAAGTTAATTAATTTTACTAAAAGTAAAAATATTCAAGTGCTCTATTAAAATACCAAAAAGGTTTAAACTTTCTTGAAAAATGGCCTAAAAAATTGAAGATAATCCTGTTGCTATTGAAAGTAAAAGGAATTCCTTATTAGTTTTATCAAGTAATAAGGCTTAATGTTTGATTAAATTATAAGATTTCAAACAGGCTATCTCTGTTTTAGAACCTTTAATTGGCTAAATGAGAAACAAAGTAATTATTTTAATCTAATTTATTATTAATAATATGAAGTCAAAAATTACTATAGGTTAATAACTTGTCTTAAGGAAATAGATGAATAAGTTAAGGCAGACTTTTATTTTAGACAGGTTATCTATATTTGTTCAATATCACCAAAGGAATAGAAACTATTTTAAACTATTAAAATTAAGAAATGAATTTGTTTTTTTTTAATTCAAAAATAAAATTTTATTTCTATTATAATTCAATTGTTTTCATTTTTCATTTAAACAGGTGTTTCCAATTCTTCAATTAAATTACCATTTTCAAATATTCCTTCTATTTTAGTTTAATCCTTTCTTTTCCAGTTTATCAAATTATAGAATTTATTATTTAAAGTAATTGTGCCTTTTCCATGAAATTTATCATTCTTAAACTCTCCTCTATAAATTTCTTTTTCTTTTTTTTTCAATTCTTTATCTTCATAATATTTCAATACTCCATATCCATTAATAATTATTTTATCCTAAGATTCTTAAAATGTCCCTTCATACACATAATAATCTTCATAATTAATCTTCCCATTTATTTCTATTATGCCTCCATTTAAGTGAAATATTATTTTCTTTAAAAGAGCATTCTATTTCTCTGAAAATTTCTTTTTCTAATCACAGTAGGATTTAATTTCGGATCTGTATTATTCCTTAAGTTTTTTTATATCTTGATCTTGTATTATCTATTTTTTACGAACTATATCATTTTTTTGACTCTTATTTTCATTATTTATATTTGTGACATTTTAAAAACAGATTCGTTTAAGCTTACCATTTTATTATGTTTCATTTTGATCAATTTTTTTTAAACTCATACAAATTAAAAAATTGATAAAATATTTAAGAATAAAATAATTAGATGAATTATTTTATATAATTATATTTTATTTAAAGAGTTTAAGTAAAGATTAGATTGAATAAAGTAGAGTTTATTGGATTAATAAGAAAGTGTTATGAGTAAATTGGAATAATAAATATATAATAATTAAATTCTACTAGTTTGAATCGAAGTATAATATCAAATAAAATCATAACGTATTCCATTATTATGGAAGACCCAGTGCTTAAATTTTTACATAAAAATTATTACTCTAAATAATAGGCGTAAGTGTTAATTCAAATTGATAAAATATAAGTCTTATTGTTAGTAATGTCTAAAATGTTATTTGCATTCAGAGCTTTTTCATTATCTTTATAAGATTTTACAGATTTTTATAATTATGTGTAAGATGGATTGAATAACTATAATTAAATTTAAAGTCTTGATTACAATCAATAGCAAAGGTAATAAACTAATAACAATCATTATTAACTAAGTAAGTTTTAACACAAAAATCAATCTTAAAGATATGCCTATTATAACAATTAATCACTTGATTAATAAAATCATAAGAGTGAAGGAAGTAGAGAAAACCTTGAAAAATAATTTAGAATTGTCTCATTATAAAAATTCAAATAAAATTAAAAAACTTATTGTAAAAAATAGTATATATTTGATAAGTATTATAAAGATGAATAATAATTGATTAAAGAAGAACTTAATCAGAATATTTCATAAAAATCTAAATAAAAAAAAAAGAGATACGATTTTTCTTATTAGAGTGTCAAAGAAATGAAAAAAATGATTATATTTATAATTAGATGATTTTAAAATATAGAATATAGAATATAAAATCTAAGACTATTACTTAAGATTTTTGAATTGATATTATAGAATTGAATTTGAAAATCAATTAATGATAATCTATAATCAGCTTATGAATATAACTATAAAGGTAATATCATCAACTACTGAATCATCTTCCTAAATAAATAATATTCATGATATATACTAAAGTCCACATTTTATAGGAGATCTGTAATAATTCATCGCATGCTCCATCTAAATCACCTTTGATATAATATTTGCCTACAATATCGACTACACTTTAATTATCAATAAATTCCCAAACTCCATCACTTCCTAAAATAATGAATTTATCTTAAGGAGTTAATTAATATTCGAAAATCTCTAGAAAATAGAAATGATTTATAATATTACCAGGAATGCTAGAAACACCTACAGATTAAGCAATTTAATCACCAAGACTTCGACTCATAGCTAATCCTGGATAATTTCCATCTCTAACCCATACCCTAGCTGGTCCAATCGAATTACCTAATGGATTAATATTTGATACCTTAATCATCATAATAAGTATCTACTCTACCTCCATGCATATGTATTCTATTCATTTCTTTTTCAAGACATGGCTTATGATCAATAGATAAAGGAAATGGTTTAAATTTTTAATTGTTTCCTAATTTTCCTATTATGGCTCTACTATCTCCTACATTTGAACATATCAAATGTCCACCATCTTATATTAAAATTGAATTCATTGTTGTCCCACTAAATTAAGTATCAAATGATTATTAATTTATTAAATTTGCTAATACTGATATTGATTTCACTATTGCTTATCTAGGATGTTATTTTAATTAATGATCTCTTTTCAATATTTTTGTAAATTAATCTCTAACATATTATGATACAAAATGACCATTCTAACCATGACCATCACAAACTGAAAAAAGATGCATGTCAGCAACTATATTTGTTTCACATATATAAGTATCTTAATTAGTTTTATTTGGATTAGATGCTAATTATCCTTATCTTGTTCTTGCACTAAATGAAAGTTTGAATTATAAAAAATCAGGATTGTAATGTAAAGATTAAGCTGATCTATATTTTAGATCACTCTTTGGTTCTGATCTCATATTATGAGTACTTGAACTTTAAGCTCTACGTACTTATTATTCTATTATAGAATTATTTAGCTGTAATTATAATATAGATTCTGTTACAAAATTATGCCATAAATTTCTCTTTTCTACATTGCTTTTCTACTTTTAATTTGCATATTGCTTTATTAAATTCTATGTCGATTCAACTACTGTTTGTCTTTTTGGTTATAATGATTCATAAGGTCTAGATATTTCTAAATATTTATAAACTCAAATTACTTTTTTAAGAGTTCTTTGTATCAATTGTAGCTGATCTTGGCTATCTTAACTACGAAAAATTGGTCTTAAGCTGTTTGGAACTGGATTTTTGTGTCTACTCTATTCTCAGATTCTTTATAAAGTAATTGTTGGTTATTTGCGTAAGATTTTCCTTCCTCATGTAAATGCTAACAATCAGTACAATTTAGCAATGCTCTTAACATCACTATTTAGGTATGCACCATAAGATGTCTATGATTTGCTACTATTCGTCTGTTTTGGTTTCTTTGCATTTGGTTTGTAAATATCAACAGTTCTTTTCATTAATTAATAAATGAAATAAGATGATTAACAAACACCCAGTCTTTGTGGGTACTTAAACTTCTTTCAAGTGTTAAGTTAGATGGAATCTGAATGTTTAATCTCACAATATGAGAAAAGGCTAATAAAATAGAAATTAACAATAAAAGAACCCACTCTAATGTTAATATTGTCAAAATAATAAGAAAATGATGAAATAAAATCAGAATTACTTACATATGCATCTTCACTTTAAATGACTCGTTCAAAATCTCATACCCAAGAGTTTAGTCCATCTAAAAAGCAAGGATAACAATTCTAAGTATTTAGATATTTAAAATAGTCTCAAACATCTTAACTAATGGATCAACTCATTCTTCAATTAAAATGTATGTAGCAATATGGCAATCGTCATGTAATTTGTTTATGATTAGTTTAGATTACCTAAGAGTTTAAATAAAAAATTGAACTATTAAAAAATGTTCTACATTCATTAGATTAAGATGATGATGTTGATTAATCCTATATTGAATTACTACAATAGAGCTATTCTTAATTAAAAGTAATATTGTCGTTACACTTAGCAAAGGTATTCTCGTTATATGAATTCACTTCTTGAATTAATGGATGAGAAGGTTGAACCTAAAGACATCTAGGCATTTCTAAATACCTTCTTAAATTAATTGATTGGATGTGAATCATACAGTTTCATTATTCTGAAAGATCAAAAAGTTGAAATACATCAAGAGGACAAATTTGAACAATTTCACATGGATAAAGAAGTTCTTGATGAATTGGTTAATTTATAACAAATAACAGATGTTCATACTTTGCATACTCTTAAATAATATTATCAAACTCCAAATCATTATATAATCAAACTTACAGATTTTTAATATTTTGTTATGAAATTGGATTCAAATTTTAAGTCAGTTGTTATGTTAGCTTCAAAATATAATTATATGGATTCCTTAATTGATTTAGCTCAATTTGTTATTTACACTTCATAACAAATCAAAGTCTAATATTTTAGTATTTTATCTATTGGAGATACTGTATTGGAATTTGGTTTAGAAATTGTTAGATGTTCCAAATATTTATTTATTGAGAATATACTATAAATTATCAATAAACAATATCAGATTCATGAAACCCTTGAATCTTAACCTAATGTGGTTACTCTCAAATTCAAGGATTCTTCCACTTAATTTCTATTTGCTACTAATTTAGATCTCAAAAAATCCCAAGATTTATTGATTTACAATACTGTCAATTAAATTTATCAACGCTATTAATAGTTTATACAATAGTGTTATGAGAGAATGCAATTTTATAAATATTTTTTAAGAACCAAAAATTTATTTATGATTGATTTTGATAAAAGAGGTCGTTTACGTTTTTTAAGCAGAGCTTTATCTCAAAAGATTAAAATGTAATTTCATATAGAGAAAATACAAATTGACGCAACTTATAAATAGATTTTTGTATCTAATCAATAAATGCTTTAAAATATTGAAAATTATATAAGTAATTCAAAATGGAAATTAAATCAATAGGAAGAGGATCAAAATAAATAATATGAAATATTCATTAGAAAAGAAGAGAGATAATTTAAGGGATTTACTTTGATTCTTTCAGAAAATGAATGGGTTCGTAAAAAGACTCAGCCTCCTACTAATGGGAAAACAATTAGAAAATAATTATTATAAACAGAAACTATGGATTATATAAAGAAACTAGAAGAATTTAATCCTGACATTAGAAATTCAGTAGTTGCAATGTACATGCCATAAACATAAGAATTCAATCCAATAGCTTAATAGACATAGAAAACTCCAACTCTAGTTTTTAGAAAAATAGATAAGGAATAGGTTGTTGGGAAAAATAGTTTCTTTTTTAAGCAAAGAGAGGAGGAGAGAAGGTTTATGAAGACTAATCCAAATAAATTGAATGATTCTCATTTAATATTAAAGGAGGATGACATTTAATTAGATTCTTTAGATTTTAATATAAATTAAGTATATATTAATTAATAATTAAAATTAGATAAAATCAACAATTGAAAAATAAAGGATAGTTTGGTCAATATTGGAAAGAAATAATTTTAATTAAATGTTTGCATTACCGTAAGATAAATTGATAAATTTTGTAATTGAAATGGAGAATCAATACAATATGAACAATAATCCTTATCATAATTTTGATCATGGGGTGGCTGTAATGTAAGCAGTTAATTACTTTATCAAATCATTGACAAAACATTTAGACTAATAAATTTTTAATAATATTACAAAGTTTTGTTTATTGTTGTCAGCCTTATGTCATGATGTTGCTCATACAGGTAAGACTAATACATATGAAGCAAATTCGTTAAGTTTATTGGCAATTCGGTATCATGATAAAGTGGTATTAATTATTATTTAATTTTATAAATTAGATATTAGAACAGCATCATGCAGCAACTACAATAAAAATATTGAGAGATAATTAAACAAATATTTTATGCAATTTTTCTGATTAAGATTTTAGAACATTTAGAAAATAATTGATTTCAAATATTTTGGCAACAGACATGTAGGAACATTTTAAAATGCTAAAAGAATTTGAATCTAGGATTGAATAATATGGTAATGATCCTGAAGATTTATCTTTGTTATGTGGAATGATAACTCATACAGCTGATTTTAATGGAACAGCAAGAAAATGGCCATAAAGTAGATTATGGAGTGAAAAGATTAATTAGGAATATCGAGCTTAATATGAAGAGGAAGGAAAAAAAGGATATCCTTAATAACCATTTATGAAAGATTTAGATAAAGTAAGATTAGTATTTAATATTATTATAGTTACATGTAATGTCTAAAAATGAAATGGGGTTTATAAAAGTCATCGTAAGACCATTGTACTATTAAATGAACTTATTTGGTAAAGGAGCATTTTAAGTTTGTGTTGATAATTTAGATGAAACCATTTTTGAATGGGAGAAAGTGTATTAGTAAGAGTTAAAAGCAATATAATAATAAGGTAGTTAATGAATTTTGATGATATTTTTATTATGTTTTAGATATTAATAACAAAATAATAATATTTTAATTATGTTTTAGATATAATGATATTATTATATTAGGATAATATAAAAATAATGATATTTTAATTATGTTTTAGAGATTAATATAAAATAAACAAATATTGTATATAAGTAAATATAATAATTTTGAGAAAATTAAATAAAAATAGTAATAAATGAATTTGGCCAAACCAGATTTGAAATGGTACATTCAATAGAAAGCCGCTCAGAATGTAAAAGAGAGACTTTATGGATATCCTAGTTATTTAAATTAGTTGTCTGTTCAAAATTAGATAAAGTATAGCATTCCAACAGAATTTGTAGGATGTATAAATGATTAAGATTAGAAGGATGTTATAAAGATTCTTAAATTTACACATTTAAAAGTATATGATTGGATTATATAAAAATATAGTGGTTAGCCAAAAATAATAGTTTTGCTTTGGGTTATAATAAGATTAATAATTAAAAGAGATAAGGACATTTGTCAATATTTGATTTAAATGATTGGAAATTGTTTTATAAGAAATTTTCGAATGATGAAGCAATGGTGGGAATTTTAAATTAGGAGTATTTAAATAAAATATTTGGATTGGGTAGTAATGGAGGGATTTATACAATAGAGAAAGGACAAGGAGGATTGGAATAGAGACCTGCATTAGAGACTAAGATTATGTAAATAACAGAGGGAGCATTTTCCCCAAATCATTATAAGATAGCCTTTTCAAGTTAGGATAAATTAATTTATTTATATGATGTATAATCAGAATAGAAGGAGACATTGATTGGACATGGTAAAGAAGTATATACAGTATAATGGAATCCAGAAAATAGTTTAATAGTAAGTGGAGCAGATGATGAAACAATTCGTCTTTGGGATGCTTCAAGTAGAGATGAAATCTTAAATTTAAAAAGACATAATTTGGGAGTGAAAAAAATTAGATGGAATCGTAATGGAACTTATTTTGTTACGACAGGAAAAGATAAATAAACAATGTTATTTGATATTAGAAAATTAGATATGGAGATCTTCAAATTACATTAAAATTAAGTAGATACAATATTTTGGCATCCAAAATATTATAATATATTTCTTACTGGTGATGCTAATGGATCTATATCTTGTTATAATATTAATGCTCCAATTGAACCTATGTATGTTTAACATGTACCTGAAACCATTGTTAGTGATTTAGCTTTAGATTATAGTGGTTCAATGATGAGTGTGATTAGAGCTAAATAAGTATAACCAGATTAAAAAATTAGTATGGCTGATCAAATATCAATTTACAAGACTGCATGATAATGAAATTAATATTCTTTATGTGAATTAGGTTCTATTAATTAGAATTATAACAATTATTTAATATAATAAATATGAGTAATAATATTGAAAGAAGTTTTTCTGTAAAGAATAGAAACTTTCATCCTGAAGAGACTACTTAAAGTGGTGGCAAGGTTAAAGTTACTAGACATTTTACTAACTAAGTGTATTAAACTTAAAACTCAGAATAAAAACCTACTAAAGATGTTGAAAAAGTTAATGAATTAATTAAATTGAGTGAATAAATTAAGAAGGAATTATTAAAGGTTAAATTTTGTATGCTTTGTAAGAGAAAGTTTCAAAGTATCAAATATTTAATTGAACATGAAGACAATTCAGAAGTACATAAAAAGATTAAATAATGATATTTATTAAAATTTAACGTAATGCTTGATGAATTAGAATTATTGATTGGAAAAAAATTAGCAAATTTAAATTCTCTCAATCCAATTGATAAGAATTCGCAAAATGTTGTCTAAATACCACTCAAATAAAATAACAATAATGTTAATCTCATTTTTCAAATTGATAAGCCTAAAGAAATTACAAATCAAATTAAAGACTTATGTTCATTTAGACCTATGCTTCAAGAAAATCACTTAAAATTGCTCAAAAATTAGGAGATGCCAAAGAAAGATTAACTAAACCTAGATCAATCACACCTGAAATTAAAGAATAATCTTAATCATAAACTAGAAAAAGAACTATTTCAGGTCTTGCTCCTAGATGGGAATAATTATATACATTAGATTAATTTTATAAATCTAAAAAGCAATAATTGAAACTTCAATTAAAATTAGAAAGATCAAAAGAAAATGAAACTACATTTTAACCAGATATTTCCAAAAGTTAAACTAAATATTGTGATTTTACTATGCCATTTCAATAAAGAAATACATATTGGGAAACTAAAAAATAAGAATAACTTATTTAATATTAAAAAGATGTTTAAAATGAAAGTTAATCATTATGTACTTTTAAACCATAAGTAAATAAAAATATTGCACAAAATAGCGTTAAAGTATCAGAGTTCAATAAAAAAGGACTTATAACATATTTTGAAAGAATTTAATAAGCAAATAAGATAAAGAGCAACCAAAAAAACCTTCAAAATGGAAACCTGGAGTTATAGATAAATATGATTTCAATAAAAATTACCATATCAAATATATAATAATTTTATTTCATATCATTTTTATTTATTTTATACTATAAATTTTAACATAATGTTTTTCTCTCTATTCCAAAATATACTTATGTATAAATATTGAATTTTATTTATAAAAATTTGGCTGTTATCGTTCTAATGCAATAATTTCAAGTATAAAAGACAAAACAAACGAGTGCAGGCATTCCTAATGAATAATATGAATTTTTATTGAGTTCTCCTTTTCACAATGTAGAAAACAAGGGTTTAATTTCAAATACTTCAAGATAATTAGAAAGTAATAAAATATCAGAAACATCTATAAAATATCTCACATAAACTCCAAGAGGTTCTGAATATAATATTTAGTTCAAAGTTGGTGGAGTTAAGGAAATTTAATAATAGAATCAAACTAATTCAATTAATTCTTAAGTAATGCTAATTACTCCTTTAAGTCCATAATCACATCGTGAAAATGTATATATATTTTAGTCTCCTTAAAGTAGTAGAATAATACATCAATAGTTTTCCTCTCCTTAATAATAATAATTGTAATTTTTATCTCCTAATAGAGAATAAAATTAAATTAACTAATTTTATTCTCAAAATCAACCACATTTTTCCAGATCTCTTTCCTTTGTTTAATTTAACTTATAGAATTCATAAAAAATAATTAATTTTACTAACACTACTTCTCTTTAAGAAGAATTGAAATCATTAAAAATATTAAATACAAATATTACATAAGAAATATAAAAATTGGAATCTGAAGCATTTAGAGGATAGTCAGCTCAATTTATTAAAGAATTAGAAGACAAGATAAAACTATTATCTTAAATGAATAAGAAGTTATAAATTGATAATACTCAATTAATAAATGTTCCTGATAAGTAAGTTCTGAGAGAATTGATTTTGAAGTATTAAAATGATAGGAAAATGGCTTATAATTAATTAAGTTTAGTGAAGACCAATATTCAGAACTATAAATTAAAGTCTGAAGAACTTAATTAAAAACTTCAAAATAATGATACTAAAAATATAAATAATTTAATTTAGGAATTAGAGAATACAGTGTAAACTCTGATAATAGAAAATGATAGAATAAATGTATAATTAAAAAATGGAGAAAAAATAATGAGTACGGTTTTAAAATAGAAAAATGAAAATGAATAATTAAAGTAGAAATTATAAAGGTTTAAAAGAGATGAAGAAAATGTAAAAAAGAAATGTTCAAAAGCAGAAAAGAAGACTAATCATTAAGTAGAATGCTTTTAAAAATTATAATTATTGTAGGATGAAAATAAGAGTTTAAAGTAAATGATTAAGGATTCTGAATTGAAAGAGGAAGATTTAAATAGTTTATTACAGAAAGTATAATTTCAAAATAATTTAGATTTCGGTCATTCGTAAAGATAATCATAGGATGATGAAGTAATTGAATTGTAAATTATGAATTTTATATAATTTTAAATTTTTGAATAAAGCTCGCAAACAATCATCAAGGTTGAATTTTTCTAATATAGTACAAAGAATAATAAGAGAAAAACTTTTTAGAATACATTTTAAAAAAAAGGGATCTAAATAAATGATTTAGTTCTAATCTAATATTATAAATAAATCTTATAAAATAATTAGGTTAGATTGAACTGACAATGAATGTTTTAAGAAAATATTGATGAATTTTTGTAATAGAATTGGATTTTAATTTTTTTTATGAAGTAGTTTCCTATTTTTTGATTAAAATGCAAATTTTGAAATTTCTGATATAATTTATTTCTTAGAGTAAGGAAATAGAGGAAAAATAAATCTATAATGATTCTTAAAATAAATAGAATTCTTAAATTTATAAGTTAGATCTTGGAACCTAATACATAAATACTTAATAAAATTAAGTAATATTCAATTACATAATTGAGATAGAGATAAGTTTCATTGTTTAAAAATATAAATACAGATTTTTAAGAGGAAAAAAGATTGCTGGATATTTTCAATAAGAAATATCCTTCGAAGAAATTTGAAGATATTTTTCCTCTTATTTGGCTTGAGAAATTGTACAGCTGAAATAATTAAGTAAAGAATGGAATATATTGAAAAAATGATTAAATAAGTGTTTCATACTAATCTGAAAAAAATGTAAAATCAAATGTAATCTATTTCATTCTAATTAATTGTCAATTATTGCTAGAAAATTAATTAAAAATTAGATATAGAAATCAAGAGTTAATTAAGAATTTATGTATCAAAGGATTCTTAATAAATTTAATAAGGAAATAATAAGATCAGGATATCAACAATTTTTAAGATATCTAAAAACCTTTGATAGAGAGTCAATTAGATTATAAAGAAAGGTAATTGATATATAATTTAATTGATAACAAATTTGTAAATATATGAATATTAGAAATCATAAAAATTAATAGTCAAAGTTTTAGAGGAGCCTCTTCTGAATGTTTTGAGATTAAATAAGATTAGATAAGAATGTAATAGATGATATTTAAATTGAGAATATTCAGAAAGTCGTATTATATTGGTGAAACATGAATTTATATTGTTTTTTATGTAATAATAAAGTAGTAAAGTTGATCTAAAAATTTTCTGGGTAGTTGTTATAAATGGATCATACTAAAAGAATTAGAGACCATATTAAATTGAGATATAAGAGTAAATATTAAAATTGAAATAACTTAAATAAAGAAATGCATATATTATATAAATTGAAAAAATCTATGATAATGGAGAATCTTTTGTATATTAAAAATGTTTATGAATGAAAATAAAGAATTGAGTTTGATATAGAGTTGATAAATTGTATAATTATTTGTAAATTGATATAAAATGGATGATGCTTACTCTCATTAAGCTTCAACACCTCCGGATCGAGATAGGAAATCCAAGTTAGAAACAATGAGAAACGAGAATATGAACTTTGTTGAGTAATGTTAATTAGATAAGTCTATAGCTCAAATGATGTGATAGTGGAGTATTACAAAAATCAGTAGTTAATTTAAATATGGCTTTAGATAAGCAACCGGATTAGATCGTTATTTTCTTGAAATAGAATCTTGGTTAGATGATGATAAAAGTCTACATACTAATACACCTTTAGTTCTTGAAGCTGATGATGGAATAGGAAAGAAAACACTTTTAGTTAAATGGATGGAATATCATGCAAGAAATAAAAAAGGAGTAATATTATATTGATTATAGCGATATCCTGATTTCATCATTCCACACTTTGCCACTCAATCTGGAAAAAATAGCAATTATTATTATGCTATCTATAGAATACTTATTAAATTAAGAGAAGCACTTAATATTAAATAGAAAGTAGAATTGTTAGAAGAAAAACTAAGAAGATATTTTCAATATTGGTTAGAAATTTGTAGTAGATAACTAGAGTAATAAATTATTAATGGAGCACCAATCATTTATGACAAAGTATTTCAATCTAAATAATTATAGGTTATTCTTGTTTTTGAAGGCATTGATAACTTTAGAGAAATCTTAGATATGCATAGAGAAGCTAATGTCAACTTTTGGTTGCCAAAATACTTTCCTACTAATATTAAAGTTATTGTAACTGCAGAAAAATAATCTGCATCTATGAGACTTTTAAAACCTGATTGTCAAGTTATTCCTATTGTATCTGATAAAACAGTCATGAAACAAACTGTTAATCATCATCTAGCCAAACATTTACTTATCTAAGTAATTTTTTTATTATTCAAATAAGAATATTGATAATCTTTTAGATATATTCATCTCATTCAATTATAAAGTGAGAAATCAACCAGTCTTTGTAAGATCCTATTTTTCTGTTTTTATTCCATATCCTACTGAAGGAGTTGTAGAATAAAATGAAGTTGATTAAACTCTTGTTGAAGACATTCTTCATCCACTCAATTATAATCATTTTAAATCTATCAAAACAGTTGAAGATTTATTTGCTTTTTAATTAGATTACTTTTCTAAAGCAAATATTATGGAAATTTCTAAATTCAGAAAAGTTTTATTAGTTTTGTCACTCACATAAAAAGGACTTACTTATCCTGAAATTGAAAATGTTTGTAACATTACCCTCAAAGAATGGAAATTATTCTTAGTATTCTTCAAAGTTTATATTATGATACATCGAGAATTGTGGATAATCCATAATGAAATTTTTAAAAAAGTTATTATAAACACATACTATATTGATGGTTAGGAAATGTTAGAACTTCATGATAATATAGCTTCTACAATAGAGAAGATTACTCCAAATTCAATAAGAAAGTTAGAAGAATAGACTTTCTAATTGTTTAGTGCCAAAAATTATTTTTCTTTAAAGGAAGTAATAAGCATTATTGAAAACTTCTTATTACTCTTTAATCCTTCTAACAAATATGATCTGTGTAGATATTGGTAGTCACTTGAAGAGAATGGATTTGATCCAGTATTAGAATATAATAAAGCAGTTGAAGGTTTTCAAATTCATTATCATCCATCATCTGAAGATATGTTTAGGATTATTTTATAGATTTCAAGATTTTTAAAAGAATTTGGTGATTTTGAAACACGTAATACTCCTGTTTTTAGACATCCTCCTATAATTGGTGTTTTAAGTGATTTATATGATATAGGATTGTTATATGAAATACTTAAACTAGATCTATTTTATGATAAAGCACCAGAACTTAAAGAATTTGATCCAGCTAAACATTTAAAACGTGTTGCTAAACCATAAACTGCTCCAGTGTTATCAACAATGGAATCACTAAATGTAGAGATTAATTAAAATAGATAAGCAATTAGAATGCATTATCTTTCATAATTCTCTAAACCAATGGAACAAACTGAAAATGAAGAGGAAATGCCTGAAACTTTAGATTAATTAGCTGAAGAATTAAACCATAGATTAAAAAAAGTTATTCAACAAAAAGAAGAAAATCTCTCTTAAGATTTATTACAATCAAATGAGAGAGAATCTACGGATTATTATTATAAAAGATGGATTTGGATATAATTTCCATGGGCTTGTATGAGTATTGATAAAAATTGTGATTACTCTACTATTATTAAATAATGTTTCTCTTCAGCAACTGATTATATGAGTGTTGAAGATGAAAATGCTTTCACTGAATCAGCTCTTAAAATTGCACTTGAAGCTAAAAGAAAACAAAAAGAAATGTATGAATAAAAGTAAGAATAATAAACTCGATTGTAATTGATTCCATAAGTCTCCGTTTTACAATAAAAGAATTAAGAAGAAATCTTGAAAAAATAAAAAAGAGAATAAATGTAATACAGTACAATTTCAAGTTAAAGATTTAGTAGATCTTCTGCTGTTCTCTTACCTCCATTATCTAATAGAACTGATATTATTGCTTAATAAGATATTTCTATTGATAATCAACAAAATCATTTAATGTTTATAACTTCAGATTTTACTGATTCAAATTATCTTAATGAAGAATCAAAAAAAATCAAACTAACTCAATCAGTTTTACCAAATGATGGCAAATAAACTATGTAATTAATTGATTAATTGAAAAAATAAAAAAACAAATTCAGATAATTCGATTCAAACTCTGTTTCTTATGAGTCATATAAAATAACTGAAATATATCCAATTGTCAAGGGAAATATTTAACAACACTCAACCGCTTAGTATAATTTGCTTCAAAATCAAGCAAGAAATATGAGATAGAAATTGGATTTAATAATATATCAAAATTTATAACTTGCTCAAACTTATAAATAATTAAAGATTATAGATTTCAATAAAGGATCTTTAAAAAAAGAAATTGATAATTTAGATGATTTAAAATCATTAGAAAAAGAACTTAAATAATCAATATAGAGAGCAGAAAAAGATTTAAAGAAATCTTGTAAAATTAAAATAAGAGTTAAAAAAATTTTGAAAATTTGTAGAGATAATAAATAATAAAATGAAGAATATATTAGACATTTAAATTATTTAACTAGGAATTTTGCTAAATTAATTAAATTTGAAGAAATTGAAATTTAAAAGAGTCATTAAAATATTCAATTAGCTAGACGTCAATTTGATGAATTTTTAAGAGTTTATCGTTAAAAAAGACAACATTAAAAAACTTTATTATTTCAAATAAGAAATAGTTTAAATTAAAAATAACATTTAGATAAACAATTTTAAATTAGTGATTAATAGATTGCACAAAAGGCAACTGCATCTATATAAAAATTGAGAAAAAAACTTAGCAAAAAAGAAGATGATACAAAAAAATAAAAAAATAAGGAAATATAAGAAAAGGAGGAAAAATTGTAGAGAGAAAAATTAATGAATTTAGAAGAATAATATAAAAAAATTAAAAATGTATTCGAAATTAAAAATTATGATTATAATTTGAAAAAAGAGTTCATTGATTTTATGGCATAGAAAGAAAGAAAAAGCGAATATGAAATTAAATTGTCTGAGTGTAGACAAAAGTTAAGTGAAGTTTTGGATTCAAACAGAAAATTAAATGAATAAGCTAAAACTTTTGAGAATGCTTATTCATCTATTAATATAAATTAACAGGATATAAAAAAAGATGGTAATATAAATAAAATGTAATTTATAGATGATGCTTAAGAAAAGAAGCAAGGTACAAATATTTAAGTACAAGAATTACAACTTAAAAAACTTATGATTTTGTAGGCCCGATTTGCAAGTTCGTTAGATTTAATATAAAAAAAAATTGGAGCAAAAGATGATGATGAGGTAATTGACTATTAAATTTTTAAGATTTTGAAATTTTTAGAGGAGAGAAGGCAAGTTATAATAAAAAATTCAGGTTAGGCAGATTATTAAAAGATATTAAATTAAAAGTATGACACTGAAACACTTTTAAAATAACAAGCACCATTTTATTTTCCTAAAAGATACCAAATTAATAGCAGTAACACCAGTGATATTTGAAAGAGAAATATATTAATCATACAAATTGTTAATTATATTAAAATAATAATATATAAAAAATTAATTATAATAAGCAAATAATAAATTATTGAATTATGCTAATTATATTTATTTAAAAGTGAAACAATAATTGAAGACTTATAGATTTTTTGATTTTTGATTTTACAATAATTATAAATTTCTGACTTGATAAAAAGCCATTAATGAGGAAGGCTTTTCTTTAATACGCAATTAATTTTATAAATAAAATGGCTAAGTATATTGATTTAATGTATGATTTTAAATTGTTTAATAATTAAAGCTTTTTGTGGTTATTTAATTATGAGATTAAAAAAAAGGGATATTTTTAGTTCTAATTGAAATTTGATAAAATGATGTAGATATTTGTTAGTTGAGGTTTAAAAATGAGTGAGAAATCTTAACTGAAAGTAGAAAGATGTTTTAGTAAGTGATCAGTTGAGAAAAGTGCTACGGATTAAGAAATTTGGAATAGTAATATTAATGTATACTCATATCATAGGATAATTATCAAAGCATCTCTAAGAATTTTTAATTTAAGTTTTTGCTGGAACGTCTCTCTGACATTGGTTTAAGTGGACTTTAAAGGAATGTACCTGACCTCATATCAATAATAATGGTTTCTGAAATTTACGTCAATTTCTAAAAGAATAATGAATGAATGAATTACTAAGTCTCTTGTTTCCTTTAATTCACGGGATGACATTTGTTTAGTGGGGAATTTAGAATCAATTTAAGTGATGGAAGGCATTGGTTAAAGGAATTCATCCATGAAATCCAATTTATCAACGTCTCCAATAATAGAAATTCTCATAGGTTCCATAACTTGAGCTCTTTGAGTAAGAATAAGAGATGGAGCTTTCGTCAAAGGTCTCAGTTCGTTGGCTTTGAGAGTCATATTTGGTCTATCTTAACAACATCCCATTATTTTTTGATAGCTTAGAGAAATTGATTTTAAATTAATAAAATCAATATTTAGTAAATGTATATCAATCATATATAAACATATATAAATATAACTACAAAAAATCTGAGAGTTTCCTTCACAGCATTCCTATGAATTTATTGTTTAAATTCTTATTGGTCATTTATTTTTTAGAAGGACTAGGAGCTTATCTTAAATCGATAATGACTTCCTCCTTTAAGTTGAGACTATTAGATTTAGTAATATCGTTAGATTTGAGCTTTTCGAGTAAGCCTTTCTCTTCACATGTACTTTCAAAACAATCAATTTGTTCCATGATTTCATCAGTATCTCCCTTTATTAAATTACTAGACAAAGGAGGCATACTTAAGTTTTTTGGGGATATTTAGAAACCTACATGATCTTAATGTAATTCTTCTTAACATCTTAGTGAATTTTGGCAGCAACCCATTTTATAAATTAATTTAATATAAATTCAAAGTTCTTACACACTTTTATTCTTTATTTCACCAATTCTACCAATCTAATGAATTCTATAAATTAACTCAAATCATTTACCTCTCTTATATACATTTTATTAAAGTCATCCTATTTCAGTTTCTTAATAGCTTTTTCTCTTCTCTCTGTTTTATCATATTGCACAACAATTTGTTTTGATTCAGGTACTACATTAGCTTATCTGTGTATGTATTTATCAAAATCGAATTTTAACTTTTTTAGACTAGCTTAAATAATTAAATGAGCAACTAAAAGAAATTGAAATAATTTAAATACTGTATTTTTCATTATTTTCTAAACAAATAAAGCATTCCTAAAAAACTTTTTAATTTTTTAGTTTCAAACTATTAAAACTCTTTTAATTACTACCATGAAGTTCAATGTAGCATTCCTAATGATAGCTATGTCCACATTAGAATGCTACAGCTTTAGTACATTTAGTAATACGATCGTTACATTCACCACAAAAACGATCAACACATACTCCTTAATTCATTTATTTAAATAATTTTTGATTTAAGGATTTATATGTGACATCAGTCTATTACATAGCAATATTATATGATGGCAATTCAAAAGCAAACTTTTCTTATATTGATTTGTTTGTTCTGAAAAAAACTCTTAAAGGAATAGAACCATAATGGTGATTCATTTTCTAATTGAATAATATCATAATTTACACTAAGAAGTTTCTCTAATTCTATACATTTAGACATGGCTAAGAATACTTCTGAAACTATATCTCCATGTAATTTTCTTAAAGATTCTGGTACTTTTAGATCGGTGAGTTATTCTAACTTATGTTATTTGAAAAAAGAATCTAAAAATTAAAACCAATATTCATCATCTTCTATTTTTGAACAGAGATCAATTATATAATTTAATTTTTCAAAAATCTCTTCTGCATCAACTTCTGAGATTGTTTTTGATCTTGCAAATGATTTATGACATTCTTTCAATCTACTTACAAAAAGTAAAGTTAACATATCAAGAGCCTTTTATATTGCTCCATTTTTTTGAAGTAAAAAAGCCGCTGCATTATAAACCTTATACTTTTCACAAATAGCTAATGCATCATCTAATGGAAAGTCTCCATTCTAAACATCTTTCAAGACTTCTTTTGGAGCTCTCTAACAAAGAAGTTCAAGGTATAACAATCTAATCGAATCAGATGCCTTCTCAGTCTTAATATATTATTTAAGATAATGTAATTGGTTCTATGGTGTCTTTTCTAGTTTCTAAATTATTTACATTTATAATTTAGTATCATGGAAATATTCCTTGAAAATACGACTTGTATTCTATTAACTGATAGTCATAAGTTTATCACAATTTTCAATTATAAACTCTTATAAATTTTATAGAAACTTCTCATCACAATGAATTAAAAGTCTTTCTATTACTTCAAATACATTTCTCTTCATTACACTGTTTTGCATCTGAAAATAATTAGAAATACAAGTTATATAATCTTATTATTTAAATACAAGAAATGCATAAAATTCAGGATATTGAATACTTTCGTTTAAAAAAATGGATACATCATTCAAATGGCTAGTGTCAAAAATATGAATCAAATATGCATTCTTATTTACTTCATAGGATTCTAAATAAATAGGATCTGATTCTTAATCATTGAAATTATACTATTTTAAGGTTTCAAAATATGATGGAGACAGAAGATCTTTAAACAATTTTACTTTAAATTCTTTAGTTAATTAATTTGGAAATTGCATTAACATTTGAGAGTAAAAAAGTAGGAAATAATTTAGTTGTTCTGAAAGGGATATTTAATGATATCGCTTTGTTTTTTCATCAAAAATTATTTAATAGTTTTCTTAGTTCTTAATTTCCTCTCTTGTGTTTTATATACTACTAAGCATCAATTTAAGAATATCTGGAACATGATTTATAATTTCAAATTTTGCTACTGGTAATGTTGCTGATTTTATATTTGTATAAATATGATGTTACATAAATTGAATCAGTAATTAAAGTGAGAGGCGGATATCAATAAGTATAAATTGTTTTAAATTTTCAGCATTAAAAATAAAAGATACTAATCCCCTTAACATATCAAAATAAACATTATGAGGTACTCGTTCTCCCAAAATGTTGATTCCCTTCACACACATTCGAACATAAGCCAAAATATTATAACCTAACTTAATTCTGAATTGACGTAATTTCTCCTTTTCAATATTATTATGTTCTTTCTATTCCAATTAACATTTATTTTCCCATAAATCCATTAATTTCATTAAACCTGTGATAAAATCTCCCTATTTTGTACATAAATATATCATAGCCTTATACAAATGATAATCCATACAAACTTTGATTAAAAGAGTAGGTTCTTATTAATGTAGATCAAGTTGTAGTACTAATTATTAGATCATTTCTTTCTCATTTTAATAAAAACTAACATAATCAACAAAAAATGATTCAGGAATTACAGCTATTTGTTTGTTTTTTATGAAGGGGTCCAAACAAGTGAAATACAATTTCATTTGTTAGATATCTTTAAAGAAATCTTTTAGTACTACTAAAGCATAAGTCATGTTATCAACTCTCAGCAGAAATTCTATTGTTTTTTTTATTTTATTTTCCTTTTCTTATTAAGATAGTGGAACATCTAATGGTTTTAAAGCAAACATAATATGGGTAAAGGCTATCTTCTGAAACATTTGACTCATTTATTCTTAACGTGCTGATAAGGATGAAGCTATTTCACTAAGTATTTTTATTTATCCTTAATAAATTAGCATTCCTTAATGCATAGCTTTTTCCCATTAATTCTTCTCAATTAGATCATCTAAATATTCATTCCAAGTTTAAAGTCTTTCTAAAAGAATGTTATTTTTTCTCAATGAAACAATACCATTCTCATATATCTGTACTTAACAAGGTTTACTAGGACCTTCATAAGAGATACTAATTTCTGCTGTTTGAGGTTCAACTTCTTCTTTAGATAGCATTCGGGTCTTAGGTTCAAAGTTTAAAATTTCATGATCTTACTTAGGGAATTAAAATTAAGTTGTATGAATTAATGCAACCCAATTGGAATCTGAAAAAATATAAATAATATTATTTGTTAAAAAGGAACTTTTTATGATATTTCCTTATGTTTTCTCCATTTTATAAACAGCACTAGATATTAGATTTAGAATACCCTTCAACAATTTCTAATTCTTCTTCAATGTTCATACATTTAACTAAATGAAAAATATCTCCCCATCTAATGCATAATAATTTTGCATTTTAATAAGATTTTTAAAAATATCCATCTCCCCATGATAGTTCTCCATTATCATTGTTTTCATTTTAAGGTGTATCAAGTGAGAAAGTATATCTTTTAAGAGTATAAACAATTTCACATTTTAATGAGCCTAAGATGATTGATTGAAAATACCTTTATAAAATTTAATAATTTCAACTCTATTAAAGTAGAGTAGAGCAGCAATGACAAGAGATTAGACATTTTGATTAAGTTATTATGCCATAGTTTCAGGCATTAATTTAATATCAAGTGCAAACTTAGTTTATTATCCATCAGTATCACTAGAGTGTTTAATAGATGGATCAATGTGTTGATTAGGTTCTTCATCTTTTTTGAATATACTTTTGGCATTATTCCACCAAGAAGACTATTTTTATTTAGATTATTGAGGATTGCGTTTGATATGATATATTTTACCATTTTTATAGATTTTATCTTTAGAATGTGATACGATATATTTATCCATAACAGTCATGACAGTAAATGAATGTTTATAAATGATTCCATGTTCATCAAGTGAAAGTGCTTCAATCATTGGTGATGGAATGAATAGAACTGAAACAACTTTACCAGAATGTAATTAAGATTCATGATGTAAACGTTCCCATTTACGACCAACTTCATATAATTATACATCTCCTCTTTCAAATCCAACCAACATATATTTTTCCCAACATTAAATAGATAATACAGGACCATATCTTGACTATCGTTCTCCAGCATTCAGTATTGCTTATATGGATTCTATTCTTCCATTAACAACCTCAATGCAAATGATTACTGAATGTTAAGTACCAATCATAAGATATCGCTTTTGACGATGCATATAAAAACAAAGTTAAGTAGGTTGTCCATAACTACTATACAATTCATTCGCTTATTATGTAAAACCATAAATAGGATTTACTTAGAAGCAATCTGGTTATTGTTGCACTTTTTCCTAAAAGAAAGTATTCCTATCATTAGACTCGAGAGACAACTTTTAAATTAATTTAGGATACTTAAATACCTTAAGAGATTGATAGATTGGATCAAGTTGATCTAATATATTGAAATGTGTAAATTGCTAATATCTACTCCGCAATACTTCGTAATTTAGATAATACATATAATTATGATTATTAAATCTTCATAATCAACTCTATACTAATAATCATTTGGTTCATTCCCTTTCTCACTATGTATTACATTTCACTTTATTTATTAGAAACTACTAATCCTAAATCTATTTCTCATTTACTATGTGTCTTAAATAACTCTTGTCAATCATTAATCGATCTCATTATTTCATCGCTATTCTATATACTATTTGTTTATTATCATAGTGATTAAATCTACTTTGATCCTCGAAATTATACATCCAACCAATTTCAATATTCTTTCTCTTATATTAATCTAACAAATCCATTTCATCTAAACAACTACTATTAAGTCAATATAAATTTATTCAAATATAGTTTATTCATACCTCTTTTCTCACAATCATTATTTCCTCTATTTTTGATGTATATGTGTGAGATTCATTTGTATTTTTGACTAACTATTTTCATAATCTAAATAAATCATATCTGTAATAGAATTATTTGAACTCAAAAGAATCATTAAATTGTTTTAGTTCTTAAATTCAAAGTCTTATATCAAATACACTTGGACAATATTGGAACTTCGGAACTGAATTAAAAAGACTACTTATAATATTTGTTTAATACCTCACACTCTATCCTTTATCAATACTTATTATTGTATTACTTGGATATATCATACTTGCAGTTATTAATGTAATATTTGTTCAAATCAAAAACTATATACAGCACATCATGAAGTTATTCTGCTCTCAATATTCCTTTCACATATTGGTATTTGAACAATACTTTCATAACCATTGTCTTCTGAGATTGTTGTTACAATTTAATTTCTTATTTTTAAAGTTTTGCTATCACATTTAACTTTAAAACTATTAATCTTAAATTTACAATTATTTAGTTGCTATAAGTTATAATACAATAAGTTGATTCATATATTATAGTTAAAATTATAGTTCTAGCAAATATTTCATATGTTTTTGGTCAATTATTTTTGTCATATTTATTAGAAAATTCAAAAAAAGAACAGTTTGTTTCAATACATAATTATTCATATAGATCCACAATGATCAATTAATTGCAATTTGAGTATAACATACACAAACTCTTCCCAGTTTTTGCAAAATTATTTGAAAAGTCTTTCCACTTATTTTAATCAAATTGCATAAACACAACTAGAAAACAGAATTGGTTTTTCTTAAAGTATTCTTTTAATATTTATTGTAATCGTAGATTTCTCTATTCAACAATCGTGAATATCTTGGATCATTTTTGAATTTTCTATTCAAATCATTTAGAACAATTAGTGATACAAATACATCCTGAATGATTATTGCAATATCAAAATTTAAATACTTTTTAATATGAGATTGAAAATAACAAAAGACTACTGTCCTACTATTGCTAGGAAGTAAGACTTTTATGAAATCTTATACATCCTCCCAAATCTTGAAGTAAAATAAAAGAGGAGATCATACTTTTAGACTTTGCTGAAATCTAAAAGCTATTCTTCAATAGCCTTTTTAACAAATCAAATCATCCTAAATAACATATGTAGTTATCTTGTATCATATTCAAAAAGAAATAAGATAATATCACAATTCAAATAGTATTTATAAATCTTGAGAAATACATCGAGCTAAACTATTGAGAAATAAGCACTTGTAAAATTTCTTGTTGTAATAATTATTCTAGTGAAAATAAACTCTCTCCAGTAAATATTTCAGCTAATACATTTCCAGCTGAAAACATGTCCATGACTTATAAATAATAAACCTATCGTTTCATAGGATTATTTATGTACTGAATTTCTTATAAATCAGAATATTTCTCAGGAGCTAATGTGCATTTTTGAATAGGTGATTTCTAAATATTATTAATGATTTTTAATTCATTTAAATAGGTTTGGCTTATAGGAAGCAAAATCAACAAGAATTAGAAAATCTAGGTTAGTTAATAAAATATTAGAAGAGTATTGATGTCCAGGATATTAATTTCATTTCTGTAATGTATTTACAGTAATTAAAAATTAGAATGCATAAAAGTTAAATAAACATTTTGGCAATTTTTAGTGTGATTTTATTCAATTTCCAAAGTTATATAGATACACTGCTAAATAATTTTTGTTCTATTCTAGATTGCCTTCAGACAGCTATACTTTAGGCATACTACCTAAAATAAATTAGATAGTTTGAATGGCATTAAATTTGGGTAATGTTTCCATTTTTCAATTAGATAATGTAAATAGAAAGTATGTATTTGAAAGTATGAATGTGTAATTTGTTTTTTCATTAAGTGAAGTTTTAGAGGAAAAGGTTTGGTTAATGCCAATATATATATTTATCATCAAAGTCTGAAATAGTTTATTTTCAAACAGTAATGTATAATGAATACCTATGTCCTATTTAGTGTTTAAAGTGTCGAATGTTTTTAACGAATTAATTTATCTTTATCTTGATTCAACATTTTACCCATTTTATATAATTATTATATCACTTTTTTATACTTATAGCTTTAATCAAAGTAATACTTGATCTCTTGAGAGGAGATCGTTGGGAGTTTTTTCTTTACACTTTACGCACTGATGCTTTCATTCTCTCTAATGGAGCTTACTTACTCTTATAAAATAAGCCAGGATGGATTAAAGAGAGTTATCTCACTAATTTTAGGGTATCTTCAAGTGGACGATTCAATTGGTTACGTAATTCTATGAATTATTTGATCTTTATTATAATTTAAATAATAATACAATACCACATTCATATCCAAATCTTCAGAATCAATTTCTTATTTGTATAACCATCCTGTCCATTATTTATTTTCAATCATGAGAAAATGTTAAGCTAACATTAATAATAGTTCTAATAGAGTCATTTATGATTTTTAAGTATTAGTAATTTTTTCATTAAATTCTTCTGAAAATAATAATTAAAAATATGGAGATGCTTCCTTTATATTAAAACATTCATTTAATTGATAATCATGTTACTCTTATAATTCTTTGTAATATTTGAGTAATTTTTTGAGAGAAATAGAACTTAATTAACGATGTTCCCGAATTCCAAAAATGATGGCATAAAATAAATTAATTGGTTAATCGAGATCGCATTCACTAAAATAGGTTAGAATAGCATTGAGTTTATCGTCTTCTCCTACCCAGTCAATGAATATTTTGCATACATTTGAGAGAAAATCTCCAATTTGATTTAAGTAATCAAAGAAGTTACATAATAGCATTGGATAATCCATTTCTAATTCTTTATTAATTTCAAATAGAATTTAAAAGGGATGAACTTACATAAATATACCAATAGAATTTAATTAGTTCAATTAGTAATTCTCTTCTTATAATTTAGGACATCCTAATCGAATTTATGCTTCTTAATGTTTCATTGGAAGAGGGTGATTTTATTTCTTTTATTATATTAAAGCACTTCCTAATTCTTTTATATCTTTTTAAAATACAAAGGAATGTTGAGATACTACTTTATCATATTATTTGAACATGCTTTCTAATTCTAAAGCCTTCAATCCAACTGAATTCATCCTTTCTTCTGCAATTCTGAGATCACTCATTTATTGAACTGCTACAACATAATCTTAAAATTCTTATTAAACTGATAATAACTGTTATTATAAGTATTCATGTTTACGAATGTATTATGCTTCCATGGCTTTGAATTCTTTATCCATCAAGATCATCTAATCTTCAACTTTAATTTTTTATGCTACAGCTTCTTTAAATTATTCTTTAAATTCTTTGACTTAAGCTTCAATATAATCAGCACAACTTTTACCCATCCATTACAATTAGATATCAATTAAGACCATCCAAAATTTACAGAAACCTTCTAAGAATATTCCTAATCTTGTATCATGTCTTAATGCTTCTCGTACACTCTAGACGATAGTTTCAGAGACTATATTAACAGCATTTTAAACAAAATGCATTTTAAAATTGAGAACAGGTCTAGTTTGTGAGTGTAATGGTTCTATAATTTATTTATCCAACTATTATAAAGTATTAAAAAGTGTAAATATGAATTTATCATCTAGAATGCTTTTTTATTCACACATTTTAGCTCTTTAAACTTCATACATATTAGAATAAAGCATCATTTTGATAGATTGAGGTAATTCAGTCAGATTTGTAATCAAAGATTCATGTTCTCTACATAAATAACTATACTATTCATATTAAACACATATTGGAATATTTTCTACATCAGATGGTAATCTTTTATGATGTTCTGTTCTACCTTCACTAATTAAACTAGCCCATCTAGTTTTGCGTTCTTCTTTCTTTAATGAAGGACATCTTGTTCCTGTATGAGATCCTTTTGCTCTCAATCTCATAATCTAAGATATCGTTGGTTTCTAATAAAACATATTTGTTGTTTATATTGGTCCATCATGACGAACAGTACTTGATTATTTCTTAAATGTATCCTTAACTGCTTAACAGAATTCACTGTCATTAAACATTTCATCAATCTCACCTAAGGAGATTCTATTTTATTTATTTCCATGTGTCTTACGATTACTCATTATTAATTTAATAAATGTAAGTTGCATTTAGTGCTATTTGTGTTGGATTAGATAATGCAGGTAAAACTAGTCTATTACGTACTCTCTCTAATAGTTAAAGAATGGAAATATTTCCTACTCCAACTATGGAAATACATTATGTTATTTGTCCTAAAATTGGAAAATACTGTTTAATTTATGATATGTCTGGAAATGGCCGTCATAGATAAAATTGGAGAATACTCTATTAAGATATATAAGCCATGATCTATGTTATAGATACTAGTGATTCTGAGTATAGGTATTATTATTCAATTTCTAATTAGATTTCATTTATAAAGATAACTTATTGAAGAAGTTCTTAATGATGATCTAATTAAAAAAAGTGCAATCCCCATACTCTTTCTATTCAATAAGAATGATAAAAATAATAGATTTAATAAAGATGATCTTATCAAAGTCTTAGGATTAGATTCTAAAAAATTCAAAAATAAATTCATTTTCAAAGAAACATCAAGCTTTGAAATTTCAAAATTAAAAGAAGCTATTGATAATCTAACTGATGCTCTCTATAGTAAAAAATAATGATTTATTAATATTATTATATTTTACTTATCTATCATTTATTCATTTCATGACTTGCTTCACCTAAACAACTCACCTATCTTATTATCCAAATTGATGCTATTGCCACACATATACATACACAAACTACTTTAAATAAATATAAATAATCATTTATCTATATTTATTTACTTTACTTCTCAAATGTAGCCAATTTTGCAAATCCAATTTACTTATTGTCAATATCAAACACTGTTATATGTTTTCTTATAAATGTATCACCCAAAATCCAATAATTATTTGAACTCTTCGTAATCGAAAGAACACATACGGAAACATCTATATTTATGTAATCAATTGGATTCAACACTAATTTTAAATCACCTTCAAAAATAAATTCTAATTCAGGAAAATTTTAGAAATTCCCATCAGGACAAGAACATTTTATTTGATATTAAGAATATTGACAAAATTATTTATATTGATCTCTTAAACTAGTTAATAATGAACTAAATTAACGAGTTGGTATAACAATCAATGAGGTTCCAGTATCAATTAATGCTGATACATCATTAATTAGGACTTTGTTATTCATTGATATATTCTTTAATTTTACTGACCATTAATCACTTTTATCTAATTTAACATATTAGATGTCTGAACTCATGTAACGAGTATCATATCCTCCAATAAATAAAGCACTTGAATTATTAATATGTTCAGGTATTGAACTTAAAAAGAATGTAAAGATTCTCTTTTCAATTAAATGTTAATCATAAAGAATGTTAATTAAAGAATTAAATCCAAATTATTCTTGTAAACCTAAGCCACAAATTCCACCAGCCCTCAAATTATCTAAACTAGATTATGAATTAACAATCAAGAATTAGAAATTTGAAACTGTAAAATTAGAAATTTGCAATTAATCATAAGCTTTATTGCCTTTTATTTCTCCTTATCCATATTAAACTTTAAATTATTCCTTTGTCATTAAACAATTAGAACTTGATTGACAATCAAATGAAGTTTTTTTTGATTGAGTGAAACACGTATTTGAAAAGACCTTAATAGTCATTTGATTTTACCCAAAAAATGGAAGAGCCTGTATCAAATAGCAATTCAAGATTTTATTCTCCAATTTTTATGAATCCTGTATATTGCATGTTTTTGAAATTATTGATCTATAAATCATTTCTTAGATGTCTATTGTAATGAGGTGGTGTAGACTTTAGTAAATCGATCTTCACATAGGCACTAATAAGTTAAAATAATAAATATAAAATCATTAATTATGGAAGCATAGTAATATAAATTGAGTCAAACACTTCGAACACATAATAATATAGTGAGATCAATTTCAATTTAAGTTAATGAATTATTAACATGTAATGATTATAAGTTTAATTTTTTTAGGCTTAAGTGATAAGACTGCAAAGATATTTGAAATGAAGTCTAAATAGTAGTAAGAATTGACTTTTTGACATTTTTTGAGAAATACATATAAATGCAATATATGCAATAAGACATTATTAATGAATCTAAATGATAGAAATGAAGGAAATTTATTGGGTATATTAGAGGGATATGATTTTTAGGTATGTTTTTTCAAAAGTATATCAGAAAATATACATTTATTATTATAAAAACAAAGTTAATTATTTCAGGATGATGGAATGGAACAGCTATAATTTGGTATTTAGATATTATTAGAAGCAACTCTATAGGTGAAGCGGAAATAAGTATGAAATATAGAGTAGCAGTATATGGAGATAAGAATTTAAATTTAATGACTGAATGTTAATATGATATATTACATAGTTAGTCTATCGTAAGAGTGTTTAAGCTCATAAGGATAGAATATAATAAGAGAAATATTACAATCTCCTTTAAGGGATTATTATAATTTGTTTTAATGATTAAACAATAAAGCTTTGGTCAAAAGATTTATAGATTATTTGATAAATGGAGGTGATGATAGATTAATAATAATTTTGAATTTAGATGGATCTGCAAAATAAAGAATTTAATTATCAGATATAGAAATAAATAATAAAAATGATATATCGATAGTAACAATCATGTTTTTAATGTTGAAATTGATAATAGAATACTTCCTTTGGATAATCTTAAAGATAATAAAAATCAGAATTAGAAACTGTACTCAAATTTCTAAAGAACTAAAATTGACAGAAAAAATAAGTATCAGTTTAGAAGGAGTAGAATCACCCTTATATTGGTCTAGAAATTAAAATGGAATGCTCAATGTTTGTTACATCTTTATGATTTCTTTAGATTATTTCGTCTTAATCATGAATAGTTATTTGCATGTCTAAAAAAAAGACTGAATCTATTCTTGAATATCTTAACATAATCAATTAATATTGTTTTTTTAGATTGGCCTTTTAAAATTTATGAAATAGTTTAAAACATAATAATAATCTAATAATTGCTTATTGAGATGCACTTAAATGTTTAGAAGAAGTCAAATTGAGTATGTGCATTTTGAATATTATATAATCTGGAATAATAAATTTATTAATTTATATTGCATTAAATTTTTAATTCATTTTATAAGATAAACAAATAATATGAATACTTTTCAATTTAATAAAATCGTTAACACTAAAAATAATGTAAGCTATCTTATTAAAAATGATGATGAATCAGTATTAGTATTATCTGTATTATTTGTATTATTATTTGTATTATTATTTGTATTATTATTTGTATTATTATTAGTATTATTATTTGTATTATTATTAGTATTATTATTAGTACTATTACTATTATTAAAACTATTGTTACTATTATTAGGTTTAATGGTATTATTAGGTTATCCATTTGGTATTGTTTTGATATTACAAGCTTAACATTTATTTGTATTTCTATTCCAAGTGTAAGTATAACCTGAAGTTTTATAGCATTCTTATTGATTCAAGGAGATTGGATCAACATTTGTACATACTCCTGAAATTACTTTACAAACAAATTATGAATCACCATCAAAAGTTAAGTAATTAGAACAAACGCCATGTTATAATTAATAAGTTGAACATTTATGATTTTCACATTAACCAGATGAATTCCAATAACATTTAGATTTAGCTTTTAAACAAGCTTCTTCATCTGAATTAGCAGATTAACAAGATGTCATTAAAGAACAAGAGTCATTAGACCAAAAACAGATTCCATTTAATCCTCTTGTATTACAAGCAATTTTAGTTTTGTACTCAGAACATAATGACCATTTAATACATGTTTTTCCATCGAAAGTACAATTACCTTATAGTTCAGTACAATTAATGAGACTTGGATCAGGAATATTTGAACATTCTCTTACTTGGCATGATCCTGTATCTGAATTTGTTGTTAACCAAATACATTAACCATTTGTAGCGTATGCCTTTTTGCATATAGATTATGTTTTATAAGATGAACATGTACTATAATCAATACATGAAACACCATCAGTAGTACATTTTTATTATAAATTTTGAGAGGCAGATTCACATTCAGTATGTGTTGGATAATTGAAATCAGAACATATAGAATTCCTACATAGTTTCTCTTAAGAATTCCAAGAACAAGGTTAATTTTTATGATTTAATTTACATGCTTCTTATGTTGTATATGCAGAACACTCACTAATTGGAACACATCCAGTAATACCATTAGATGTACATTTATAATTAGCTTTATAACATTGATCATGAGTTAAATAATATGCATCAGTACAGGAGTTAAATTTTTAACATATTGTTTTAGTGTCATTAATTGCAATAACAGTTTACATACATGTTCCATCATAACCAGTAACACAACCACCATTTGTATTTGTTTCAGAACATTAAGTAATAGGAATACATTTAGTACCATCAGTAGTACATAAAGGGGAAATCTACTTACATTACTCATTAGTATTCCATTGAATACTTTAACAAGAATTATATTTATAACATTTTCCTTAAGGTTATTAATTAGAAACCTTATTAACTATCCATAAACAAGGTCCATCTAATCCTACTATGCAAGCATCAATTATTTGAGTATTTTCACAATTTTAGATTTCTACACATTATGAATTAAATCCTACTGTACAATTTGAATTTTATATATTGCAATTCTTATGTGTACTTCCACTAAAATCTTTGCATTATTTGACTCTACAACCTCCACCTTATTTAACAATACATTAATTCTTTAAAAATTAATCACAATCTGAATTTGAAGTAATTGTACTAGGTGCATGATCACAAGTCTTTACTACACATCCATTACCATTCCAAAAACAATCAATCTCATTAATATCTTTAGAACATGCTTCAGAAATATTGGCAACCATACATGATCCATTGTTTATACATCCTCCTCCATTTGTTGTTATACAATAACTTAAAAATTGTTAACATTCTGAATTCTTTTTTAAATTTTTTGATGCATTTTAACATATCTTATCTATACATTTATTATCTTACCAAAAACATTTAATAGAACCTTCATATGTCTCACAATCTGAAATTACTGTTATCTCCTAACACGTTTTGTATTTTTACTATTAAATTCCCTATGATAATGATTCAGATTCTACAGAATTAGTTGTAGTATAAATTTCAGTCTAAGTTTAAGTTTTACAACCTCCAAATTAATTTGATACACAAGTAGATATCTAAGATTTACATTAATAATCTTATGTAAATGTTAATGGTAATTCTTCACAACTCTATGGATATTAACATTTCATATTATTCTGATCCCAAAAACACCATATATTATTCATATCTTATTTACATGCTATTTCTGTCTTATAAGAATCACAAGTCCCTATCTCAACACAATGAATTCCATCAGTTATGCATCTTTCAGATATAGATTAACATTAAGAAGTACTACTTTTATTAAAAGCTGTGCATCCAGTAAAATGGGAGCATCTTTCACCGTACCATTAACAAGGTCCATTTTTTACACAAAATTCACAAGGCTACAATTTGTTGCAATTAGTTTAAGAAAATTATTCACAATATGTTTCTGAATTCTAACTATATTCTGAACTTATTGCTCCATATTAACAATTTTATTTAAAAGAGTTCCAATTACATTCTTGGTATTAACTCATAAAACAATCTCCTTCTGTTAATAATTAATTGCATGAACATATTTAAGTAATAAATTGAGAATTTCCTATGTGATCAAGCACAAAAAAAATTAGTATCAATCTATTCATATTTAATTATTATATTGTATATTCCAATCAATCACTTTAACATTGAATGAAATAGAATAAAAATTTTTTTTACTGTAAATTTTTTAAATAAAATTCTATTTTTATAAACTTATCAAACAATCAATGTTTTATCTTTTTTACTATTAATATTTATTTTAACATCTATTTTGCATTTCTAAAAATTTACATCAAATCATTATTATTTTTAATTTGAAATTATATATTTTTTTATTATCTTAATTTTATAATTAAATACAATATTTCAATATGAATACTCAATTAATTAATCAAAAATTCATTCAATTAAATCAATCGAATATTTGAATATTTTTCAACCAAATATAATTACAATCAGGTTGACTATAAAATCATATCCACCCAAAATTATAATTAACAGTCTTCCATTTATTATTTTTCTCCAATCTAAAAGTTGTTTATTTGAATCAAAATTCTAAAATAGTTAAATAGTAAACTCCAAATTTTATTGCCTAAATAGACCACTTTTAATAGAGTTTAAGGGAAACTTTTTCGACTTGCATTTAATAAATAATCACTTCCAGATATAAATTTAAATGTAATTCTAATATCTTAAAATCTCTTATTTGTCTCTTTAATGATTTTTCATGCAGTTAGTATCTTTTGTTATTCTACCTAAAAATTTAATTATGAAGAATAAGACAAAATTAAAAATAATGATAAATAAATTTATGCCATTTCTTATCTTTTATATTCTAAAAATAAGGCAACATATTTATAATAAAATATTTAAATGATAATTTTACATCTGAAAAGATTTATATTAAACAAAATATTGGTAATAAATAAGCCTAACATAAATATCAAATTCAATTTGAATAAGTTGTCATTTACCTTCTAAAATCAACTTCCATGAATTTTAAATATTATCTCTGTATGACTGGAGGTTATTCCAATAAAACGATTAATATATTTTTTTATATTAATATTATTGTCTATCATTTCAAATAATATATAATTAAAACTATTAAAAGGAATATAAAAAATTATTTATAAAGATTTAAAAATCAATTTAATTAGTTTCAATTTTATTTATTGTTTAATTCAGAAGCATAAAAATATTTTTGCTATCAAAAATTAATAATTTTATTAATCCATATTCTAAATATTTGTAAATAATAATGATATTAAGTTTATTGTTTATTTAAATCAAAAAATGACTTATTACTTATATATAAAATATTATATTTTTTAAAATACTTATCTAAAATTAATAACATATTAACTTAATAATGCAAATTAAATTTTATTAATAAATGTTATAATTAAATAATAAATGTAACAACCTTTTTTTAAAAACTTAGAATCTATGCAAATTAGATCTTTTTATAAAATGCGTATGAAAATCTATCAAAAAAACCAAAATTAAAATTTTACAAGAGCAATATTATTCTTAGTCTTTATGAACACTAAAAAGAAATTTATCTGAAATTTAAAAAATCATAATTAAAATATTAATTTCAATTTCTTCTATGCATCCCAACAATTTAAGAGATATACTGTTACTAAAACTATGTCATAAAATTAAGAATTCAGCCCCCCCAAAAGAGGTTTTGATTGAAAAGAAAATATTTAGGTTTTTAAGTAACATTATTTTATAATCAAATGAAAAAGATATAATAATATAAAAGAAAAAAAGCAAAATCATTAAAATTAAATTCAGAAAAACAATTTTATGTGATTGTTTTAAAAATGATTATTTTGATATTTTCATTTCAATATTGTGTAACTATGATATTTAAAACAGAAAATTTTTTTAAATTGATATTTGAATATTCTATTCATCTCAATCTAGAATTTCATACACATTATATTATTTAGTGTTTAGATCCCAAAGTACCAAAAATTAGCCATCGTTAGAGATTGAACCATAATTATATTCTGATTTACATTGAATTGGGTCTGCCATTAATTTTAAGCTACCATCTTATTATTGTCGAAGAATAAACACAGATTAATAATGTCTAATTACTATTATGTTTTTATGTTTATTGTGAATAATAGGAAATAAATTCCAGTCTTACTTTTAATTATTTAAAAATAATTATTTTTCAAGTATTTCTTTAAATGATAAATTTTAAACTTCAAAAAAATGAATTATTCCTAAGTTCATTTATATCCAAATAAATTAAGAATCATTTAAAAACTTAACTTATCTACCAATTTGACGTACTTATTAATTTACAATTTCTTTAAATTTCCAAACACCAGACTCTTTACTCCAAATTATTATTGATTGATCTTCACTGCATGAGACTAAACAAGTTTCAGATTCATTCATACTTAAACTTAATAATTTGTTTTAATGTTTAGATAATGTGTATTGATATATTAAGCAATTTTATGAAAAATCTAGTTTCCAAATAATAATAGTTTTATCTAGACTTCCAGATATTAATTGATTCTCTTATCTATTCATTATCATCTACCTTAATCCTAATTAATGATATTTAAATGGCTATGAAGATTTCCATGTACTATCTTTTTTCTATTTCCAACATATTATTGAACCATCCTCATTTCCACAACCTGAAATAAATTAGTTTAGATTTTGGCTAAAAAGTAGACATGTAACATCATCAATATGTTTTTATAAGGTAAATCTTAAAATAATTTAACCTTAATGAAAGTTCCAAACTTTTATTTATTTTCCACATGTTGAAATCATGATCGAATTATTCTAATTAAATGCAATAGCATAACAAGTTTCAAATTGTTTAAAGGATTAACTCATTATTTAATTGTGAGTACTAATTTAGAGTCTTCCATTTTAATAATTTTATTTCTTAATATCTGATAAATTTTATGTTAGAATATTTTCAATAGATGTTTTCAGTTTTAGTTTAAATATTTCTCTCATAATAATTTAATTTTATTCTATTTTATTTGAAATTTATTTCAATTCATCAAAAGATCCATTATTTATTAAAGAGTTTAAAGTTTTCGAAAACTAAAAATACTCACCATATTTTAAAAAAACATGATTAATAACTTCCATTTCAAAATCCTGTATTATTATTTATAAACTTTTTTTTAACCTTATTAAATTTTATAGTTGCTCTAATAATTCTGATTATATATTTTTGTTTTCTTCTGATTTTTATGCTATTATTTCTAAAATATTTGTGCATTCCAAATCCTAAATAGAACTTTATTTGGCATTCTAGATTTTTTAAATAAATTTTTTCCTTTAACTCTCAACATTTATTTACTAAATAGCATCTTCAATATAAACTTTTTACAATTAGAAAATTACTTACTAACATGTATTGAATTATTTAAAATTAATAAATGGATTAATTAATGTATTAAGATGAGGTAAATATTTTGTAGTTATTATCAGAAGTTTTTAATTTACATCATTAAAGTCTTCATATAAAAGAGAACATTCATTGTTAAATGATTAATCAAATATTTCAATAAACACCTTATTGTTTTGAAATTATAAATCCTCTAACCATAAGTTTGCTTTTAAATTAATTTCTTAACAAATCTATTAAATTTCAGTTTGTAATAACTTAAAATTTAATATGAATGTATTTAAATGTAAAATATTTTAAAATAACAGTTAGTTTGTGTATTTACTTACATCATTTTAGTTTTTATTAATAAAATCAAGAGCACTTTATATATCTATTTTTTCAGCTTTACCTTCATATTGATTTAGACATTTTTGACATAACAATCTTTCATTTATATTAAGTTAGGAGTCGTTTACTATTTACAAAACTTAAAGTTTATGTTAACATAAGATGTTATTTTCAAATTCCATTATTTTAATTAAAAAATATAAATTATAATTAAGAAAGTAATATTTTAAAATATTTTATGTTATTTTAAATAATTATTATTAATAAGAATTTCCATTATTCAAAGATTTTGAAATATTGTTAAATGAATTTCTTAATCTGAATATTTTTCTATATTTTTGAATGAATTTTCTGTGGTATAAAATTGATGATTCATAACCATTGATGAACATGATTGTAATAAAAAGATTTTAATTGAATGAATAAGAAAGTCAATAATAATTGATACAAAAATCTTATTAAAATTTGAAAATAATAAAAATAAGGATAAAATTTAATATTTTATGTTTTCAATGATCATTAATACAAAAAGCTTATCCTATTATGCTAAAAATGTTCATCCTTAAAACACTTTCTTAAAGTGTACTCTTAGGAATAAATAAAAATCATTAATAGCAAATTTAATTATTTAAAGATTGGAATAAAAGATAAAGTTGAAATCTTTTAATATATCTATGTTATTTAAGAATAGAATTAGTAGAAAAAAATAATTATGTAAGTTTATTTAGCAGTTTATAAATTTATGATTTAAAGTAGGAATATTAACTTTGAGTTTTTAAAAACTAACCAAAGAAGGTTTGTCGAATTAATAAAAGAAATAAATTCATATTAATTAAAAAAATTTATCCATAATGATATTTTTTAAAGTGTAAACTTAGAGAAAGGAGAATATGAATATTGAATGAAAAGTAAATTTTATATATTAAAATTTAATAATAATATATGAAAAGGGATAAAATGGTAAAGAAATGGAGAAGTATAATATTAATTTTAAAAAGTAATAATTAAATATAATTAAAATGTTGTAATAATACATAAACATGGGATTTTCTTAGGCTTAGATTTAGAAAGCCTAATAAATTTGCAAGTAAAATCGTAATTTGGAGATTTTGGATGTGCTGTTAAAAAATGTTTAATCTCCAATAAAAGAATAATCACAATCTCAGATATTGAGAGAATTATCGTTTGATGTTTTGACTCCAGATCAGCGTTTGAGACAGAAGGGAACACCAGTAGGATTAAAGAATTTAGCAAATGGTTTGAGTTATATTTATGGTAGTTTGTTATTTGAATTCTTTGATACAGACATATTTTCATAATCCAATATTTGTGAAAGAGATATTAAGTTTTAGATACCCGATATAATTGAATTTTGAGGATTTATTAAATAAGAATGAAGCAAAAGCAAAAAGAATAAAGTCATCGATCGATTTGGTTGTGCATTTATAGAGGTATAAAAATATTTAATGTTAGATTGTTTGCTTATTTGGTTCATACAGATCGTAAGTATGTAGATCCATATAGAGTATTTTTGAATGTTGTAGATGAATTTGGTAATAGATTTTAATTGGGTGATTAGAAGGATTGGGCAGAGTTCAATTTACAATTTATAACATGTATAGATGAGGGATTGAAATATCATGAGAATAAAATAATGGATGCAGAGATTTAAAGTAAAGAAGAGTATGGTGAGATATAAGAATCAGATTAGTATTAGTAAGAGAGAAATAGATCTGGAATAACATTATCTAGATCAATGATATTATTGGATGAGAATAAGACTAAATTAATTGAATAATAACCTTTATAATCTTAACCATAGAATTAAACGATTATTAATAGGCTTTTCTTTGGTAAAACTAAAGAATATATCACACATCCTAATTAAAGAAATTAGAGTGAAGAATAAGAATAAATATTTTTATAGATAATTTTAAATGTTAAGAATAGGAGTTTATATTAAGCATGGGAAGCTAACAATTCATTTTCAATTGAGGGATATAGAAATGGAAGTGAAGTAATTGAATTAGCAGAGAAAACTATTTGGATTACTTAGATTCCTGATTCTTTATTATTTTAAATATAGAGAGTTGGATATGATCCTGAAAGAGGATTGATAAAATTGAATGATGAATTTAGATTTGAGAAAGAAATATATGCAGACAGATTTCTTTTAGAAAATAGATAAAAGGTTATAGAAACATAATAATAATTACATGAACTTAAAATTTAGTAAGGTGAATTACTTTCATAAATGGAAAAGTATTAAAATTATAGTGGGATTTCTATGTTGACTATTTTAAGTACAGCTGCAAAATATGTAAAGGAAGCTAAACCAGATGATGAAATTATGCAATAAAGAATTGATTAATGTAGATTGAGTATTCAATTGATTTTATAGAAATTCTAATTGTAATTGGATCAAATCAATTAAAAGATTGAAGATTTATATGCTATTATGAAAAAGTATAAATACTTTCTCTAAAGTATTCTCATTCATGAAGGTGCTGCAGAATCTGGTCATTATTATACTTACATTTACAATCCATTTTTAAAACAATGGTTTAAATTTAATGATATCAATGTTACATAGGTAAGCGAAGAAAAGGTTTTAAGAGATGCTTATGGAGATGGTAAATCTAAAACTAATGCATATTGTTTAATTTACTAGCGTGCTGATCATTTTGAATCAGGATCTTATTCAGATTACACAAATAAATCTGTTTATGCATAATATATTCAATAGAATCTTTTTGAAGAAGTTACTAATGATAACAAAAAGTTTTAGATTGAACAATAAGAATATGAACTTGTAGAATTAGGAGATTTAGTAGTTGAAATTTATAATTTATAATTCTAATAAGTAAATGAAATGGCTAGAAAATATAAAAATAGAAATGGTAATCCACTTAACAATTTTCCAACATATTTACGTACTCTCTTAGATCAAATGAATGATTTAGTTAAATGGAGTATATTAGATTATGCAATTAGAGAGGCATCTTAAGGGAAAAGAACTTTGAGAGATTATTAAGAATAGATGATCTTTCAATAAAGGTGTATATTTATTACATTGATCTTAGAATTAAATACAATTTGGAATAATTAAATCATTTCAAAGTTCCATCCAAGTATGAAGTTGACAAATAAACCATTAAACATCTTTAATATTACTATATGTAATATATTTCATCACTAAGAATCACTGCAATACAACAATATTAGCATATTTGAATTATATTTTATTTTATATAATAATGGTTTAAGCATATTCAGTTGGGAATGGCAAAAGATCAAATGAAGTTTAATAGGGACCTGATACTCCAGGACCTGGATAATACTCTGGAGATAAGAAATAAAAATACACTCCCCCAAGTTTTAAGTATCAATATCTATTTTTAATTAGAATACCGTAGGCTCAAAGATAAACTTTTTAATCAAGTTTTACTCCAGGTCCGGGAGCATATGCTTCATCTGATGTACACTTATATTTTTAATTTAGAACCTACTAAAAGGACCTAAGTTTTCTTTTGCTGGTAAAAAATAATAATCTGTTACATCATTTTAACCTGGACCAGGAGCTTATAATGTAAAACCTACCAAACAGGCTCCTCATTATAGTTTCGGAGGTAAATATGGAAGTAATCCTGATGATTTATAACCTGGTCCAGGAGAATATTAATTAAGTAAATAATTAGATGCTCCAACTATGAAGTAATAATCTATTTAAAATATAATAGATTTCCAAGATCCAAAAGAGATGATCCACATTTAGAGAAAGTTCCAGGACCTGGAAGTATGAATAATATTTGATTCATTTATCTAGCATATAAGTAGGAAAGACCTGAATCTGCCCCAAAGTATCGTTTTGGTAATGCTCAAAGAAGAGGGCTTTATGATAATGAATTAGGAAAAGTACCAGGACGTAAATAATATACACATATATATAATTAGCTGGACAATACAATTATTAATCATAATTTGAAACTATCTAACCTAAGGGTTTCTCTTTAGTTTCAAGAAAAGAATAAATTACATAGTAACTTGTTGTACCTGGACCTGGAGCTTATGATCCATAATCAATTAAAAGACCTCCGTCATGCAAAATTGGTAAATCTATGAGAGGATTACAATTTGCTAATCCAAATCCAGGACCAGGAGAATATGAACCTTAAATTGATACTATACGTCCTTAATCAGCTATGGTTAGAGTAGGATCAGCTAATAGAAGACCACTTAATGATGTTAAAGGAGTACCAGGACCTGGAACTTATAATTTACCTTCTAAAATGGTTGAAGGACCATAAGTTAAAATTTTAGGTCATAAATATGATCCTGTTTAAGCTTAAAAAGATCAAGTACCTGGACCAGGTTAATATGAACGTCCCATAATGTAAAGACCATAATCTGCTAAGTATTATTTTTTATTACTAATTTTTTTAAGAATAGGAACTTCGAAAAGATAGGAACTTAATAATACTTTAGAGGTTCCAGGACCTGGATAATACAAACCTAAAGATAAATTAGGAGGACCATCTTGGGGATTTGGTTCTAGTAAAAGACCACCTTTAAATCCCAAAAATGAAACTCCTGGACCTGGTGGATATGATTAAGGAAATGAATTTGGATCCTTACCTAAATATGCTATGAAGAAAATATCATGATCTTTATAGTAAAAATACACTAAATTTTATTTCAATATTTCATGCAAAAATTATTATTACTCCATTTTTTATACTTATTGATTTTGGATACTTTAACATCCATTTTAAGATATTAAAATGTATTATAGTTCTCTCTCTTTTTGTTATTTTTAGATAGGTTAAAGAATTTTAATCAATTTATAAGAGGTAAAAAGGTATTAATAAAAATAACATGTTGTTAGAATAGTTAACTATATAATTAAATTATTGAAATTAAATTTTATAGATATAAAATAAATAACTCTTCTTAACCAAAATTTCTGAACTCTTAGATAATTCAATTATTTTAAACTTCATAGATCATTAAGACTTGACAAGAGATGTATTTAGTTAGATAAATGAAGAATAGGTATTTAAGTCTAACAAATATTTAGGAATTGTTGTTTCTTTTTGATAAACAATAAGATTAGATATTGGATCTTTATATAAGGTTTATAATATATAAATTTGATTTATATGAAATAATATCAATGTTTTGCTCAAGTTATTAATTATAATATAGATTCTCCAATTGCAAAAGTATTTTCTTTTTAGTATCCACCAGAAAGTAACATAAGTATGGGGATTTTTTTAAAATTTGCCCATTTAAAAACGACTTCATCTCTTCTTTAAATTCCTGCAGGAGAGATGCAACAATTTCCAAGAGGATCTCCTGCCATAATATCAGTTCCAGCATTATAAATAATGAATTGCATATCATTTTAAAGATGTTTTTCAAGATTTTTTTAAAGTAATTTAATATATTGTTCATCTGTTGTATCTCTATCTATATGTACAGAACAATCAATAGCTTATTCAGCTTCATGATCTCCAGGATATATATATGGGTTATAAAAATCAATTATATATACTGAAGAATCATGATGGAAATCTCTTTGATATCCATTACCTTAATGTGCATCTAAATCTATGATGACAATTTTATTTAAATTGCGATATTTTTTAAGGTAGTTAACAACTAAAGTGATATCAGGATAAATACAAAAACTGAAAGAATAAAATATATAATATACCCACCACCATTATTTAGTGAGGCATGATGATAACCTCCACTTAAATTGATAGCCCAACCTTTTTCTAATGCTAATCTGGCAGCATAAATACTACCACTAGTTGCGAGAAGCATTGAATCTAAGAGACATGATCTTAGAAAAGCACCTGGTAAAAAGAATACAGGCAATTCAATTAATGTTGAAGCATATGCACTATAACACATTTTGAACAAATACCATTTGCTCATACCTAGAAACAGAAATGTGCCTCTTGATAACATTTCAGGAGTCAAATGTTTATCATTTATCTTTTATCTGATTTATCTATAAACATTTCCATATTTGCAGGAATCAAAAGGATGCCATTTCTCAATTCCACATGCAGTTATATTGTAATCATCATGATAAACTATTGGTATTTCAGGCATTGTTTTTATTATGATTTCTTATTTTGCACTCATTAGATTATAAGAGAATTCTATCATGACAGGGTATATTAAATATAATAACAATCCTATAAGGCATCCAGCTCCATTCAAATAAATTCCTAATAATATTGTTATTAAAAGAGATGCTATAGTAAAGAACCAATCTATAAATGTATATAGTTGCATTTTAATAAATTAAATGAAAGAGTCAAAAACAAAAAATTTACATCAAACATTTGGAAAGGCAGATAGATTCCCTAAATTGAAGTTCTACAGTGAAAACATAAATCTTAATGAAATACTCCCAATATTAAAATCTCGTGGACCTACTTTTCCTAAGGGTTAACGAATTATGTTTAGTAGGAACTCTCAAACTCCTGGACCTGGAAACTATAACATAATTAAAGTTAAAGTTTTTAAAAGTCCACCTAAACAACCATATAAAGTGAACAAAGAATTTTTAGATTATATGAATTCTAGACCTAAATCTGTTTCTTATAATATTCCAGGACCAGGGGCTTATTATTTAGGCTCTACATTACGAAAAAGAGGAATTTCATTCACTAGAGCTAGAACAGGAAGTATGAGCATTACTTAATCTCCTGGTCCTGGGTAATATACTATTAGTAGGCCAATTTCTAGAGTTTAGTGATTTATAATTTTCGTCATGAATTTTACTGAATCATATATTAATCTAAATCATCATCGTTTCTCTTTTTATATATTATTTTACTTCATATATACACAGTATAGCTATAATAAATTCTAAAATTTTAATAGATAACTCAAATAACTTAGATCTATTTCATATTAAATTTTATTAACTAAATTTTAATTATTATTTCAATGCTTTCTCATGCTGATTCATTCATTTATCAATCTTTCTCATTTTAACCTGAATCTACAATATTTTATCAAACTAAATCAATATTATTCGTGAGTTTAATAAATATACCTAAGTTAAAAATTATATTTTCACGCAATTCTTCTATGGGGGACCTTCTTACAGCAATCCATTTAGACTTATTGGAATTACAACAACTATTATAAAAATTATCAATATTATTATTGCTAAAATTAGTTGTAAGAGAAAATTTCATAAAAATTATCAATTAATATCGTTTGACTCAATTATAAATTAAGTCTTTAACTTTACAGATTCTTTTTTAGCTAAGATTTGCAAGAGCAAGCAGGGTAATCCATAAAAGTTCTTTTCCTAATTTGAGAATTTAATACCTTACCTTTTTGTAAATTTTCTTTATTTCCATGTATCTAAATGGAATAAAAAATAAGGAGAATAACTTATTTTAAATTTCACTTTCAGTAAAGGTAAATTTTTTTAATTTTTTTACATAGTTGTTTCATTGAATAAATTTTTCTTTGGGATTATTTTTAATTTAATTACTTATGTTCCTTTAGCAATCGATATAATAAAAGTTTATTAATTAGGATGATAAATATATTATTTTTTGATGAGGATACCTCAACAAATGATAAATTAAGGGATTCTTTATTATCTATAAAATTGTTTTACTCTTTCTCTTTAAGTTATTGCTATGATAATAATTATTATTATTTAATTAACAAATATTATTATTTTCATTATTATTATAAAGCAATACA